ACACACACACACACACACACACACACACACACACACACACACACACACACACTTTCCCTCTTTATTGGGGTAGTCAGTAAACTACAGAAAAGACTACATTTTAATAAATAAATTAATACATCTTTAAATAATTGAGTTTGAAATACCATGACCTAGATGACAAATCTTCACCAGTACACCACACACAAAGAAATAGAGTACAAGCCAGAAGGGATAAAAACATGTTTCAAACTCATCAATGCAGCCCTTTAACAATGTAATAAATTAATTAGACATGCGTTCTCATTAGTGCCCAATGGAAGTCTTAAATTAATTTGAAACYTTTAATTCAATAGAATTCCTCTACTAGAAAGAGAGCAAATATGGCTCTAGTGGGTRATCGTGTAGTACAAACATTAAAACTGTTTATTTAAAGTTGAATTTTAGAAGGTCAATATTGACAAGGATTGGAATATTGATATTTACATAAAATAATTGAAGATCTCCAAATAAATAATATTTGATTAATTAAAAAGTGTAGAGCTGCCAATAATTAACAGTCTAGTGCTTTAACATGTCAGTACTGGAGGTCAGAAAATGACCTAATACTACAGTAATACTGCTAGCGTTGAGCAAGTTTAGCTGCCAGCAGAAGTGAAAACAACTTCCTTTGCTTTAGTGATTCAAATTTCATTTTTTATGTTCACTAGGACAGTATCACCTGTTGGAACACATTAAATGAAATTAAAACAGCAGTTTCATGATAGTATCTTTAAATGTCAATAATATTCAGAATTGTCAATGTTAAAATGTTTAAGTGCTCTCAAACCACTTTAAGTTGGAAGGTCTGTTTCTAACAGTTGAAATATTTTTGCTTAATACATTTCTTTGCCTTGACAACACAGAAATTACTGATAATTTATTCTACTAGTTTCTACAAGTGAAATGTGAGTAAGGATTTATCAGATATAACAGTTTTATGAGATCATATCACACATTAGACTGATATTATAGAGCAAGGCTATTCAACTAAATTYGTCAGGGAGCCACCATTACTCAAAGCCAACAGCTTAGGGGCCAGACAACTGGGGTGAGTGTGGTGTTGCCCAACAATGGTAGGGAAACACTAATATGTAAAAGGTATATGATTTCTACTTTTTACTGCATTGAATCATACTTTTTAAACCGATTTAAAATTTATTTTATACTAAATTAAGTAAAAAAGTATGTCTTTTAAGAACTTGTTGGCACTCACTGATGTCACAAGTTGAATCGCCCTGTTTCAGAGACATTATAATATAGTGACATCTATTGTATTATGTGATAAAGTGTTACATTATAAAGGACTTGGTGGCCATTATTCCAGGCATAGAGTGCTCTGTCTCTTGGGTTGTAATCAAGCATGGAGAGATGACTGTATTTATTTGTCAGAGGAATATCAATGTATTCATAGGTGGAGGAGTTGGTAGAGTAAGCATAGTACACTTTAGTTCCTCCTGAGTAGCCGTTGGTGACATATAAAGTTCCACAAATCATGAAGGACTCACCAGCACTGCGCTTTGGATGGTTGGTAGTCCAGCTGCGAATGATCTGTAGAGTGTTTGGATTTAATTTACTGAGTACAATGTTACCAGCATTTTGGTTAGTAGCATAGACAGCCCAGAGTCCTCCTTCATCCACCATGAGGTCAATGTCTGAGTGCCCACCCCATGAGTAATGGTACATGTTGTTGTAACCAGCAAAGTCAAGCTGTTGGGCGCGACTGATGAGGGATGTGCTGAAGTCAAATTTGATGATGGTATGACTCTGGAACTTGTTAAAATAAATAGATCCATTATAAATGACTTGACCAGTACCAGACCATGGGTGAGGTAGGCGATGAGATGTGAAGTTATCTGTTGTCATGAAGTCATTCATGGACTGGTACTCCCTAACAAAGCGGTTATTGTGATAACCATCCATGTACCATACCTGAAACAGAGGCAAAAAATTTTAGCTACCATAATAGCAGTGTTGGGTGGAAAGTGGAAACAGCTGGGTGATTACTGAGTATAGACAAGTATGAGAGTGAATCAGGAGGACAGAGCAGACTGAGGAAAAGAGGATAATGACAACACAGAACACTAGAGGGAGACAGAACACAAGACACAGATCCCCACAGCAAGTGATTCTGGTTGTGAACAATATGGGCTTTCACCAGTTTCCTCTGTTTTTAGTCAACACTTCAAGTTGATTTTATTAATATAGTACAGCCAGAAATCTAGATTGATTTATGCATTATTCCCTGGTGCTTCTGTGTTCATTCTAACAATGATGTTCAGAGACTGATTAAAAACACAAAACAGTGTAAAACTAGCAGCAGAGATATATTTTTCAGTCTATTAAAAACTATAGTTCTAACAAATACTTGAGAAAGAAACATGATTGATAAACAAGTAAAACACAGCACTGCTGAAAAACTAGATTTTACTCATGAAAGCATCAAGAGAAAGCGCCAGGTAAGGTGAAACTGAACCTAAAATGCAACCAGGTTCTCAAGAGAGTCAGGTGGGATGAATCCAGAAAATCTTTAAGAAATCAAAAACCTTGAATTGAGGACCAGAAATACAACAGTGACATGACATGTTCTGTGAATGATGAGGAACTGGTGAAAGAGTAAGAGAAATCAAAGAACTTATATAGACTYGGGTGGATAATTTGTGAGTAAGGACAGGTGAGCTGATTAACAGATTGAACAAAGCTGTGTGAAAATACTACCAATTATAACTGAGAGTAATAGGCTGACACAAGAAAACAGAACAAACACATAGTCCAGGCGGCACACCCACAACTTTGACAGACAGAAAAATAATGYCATGTCTAAATATTTTCTATTGTGCTGTTTGAAATTGATTAAACTCACTCTGTTATCTCCAGCTGGAGCCAGTGGATCAGTCATCCATGAACCAAATCTGGACCCAGATGTCTTAATAGTGGTTGGTTCTGAAATTCCTGTCAGTTTCCCACAAGCTGAAAAACAAAAGTCAACTTTTGTACATACAGAATGCAAGTGAATATATGCAAGGAGGAATAAATTCAATTAAGTTTGATGCCRTAAAAAATTAAGATTTGACAATGGTATCCTTTTAGGGTTCATATTAGACCAATATTCAGCAAAAAGTGGAGAAACAAATGTAATGATTTGTACAAATATGCTGGTGATGAGTCATGCAGGACATGGCACATCTTAAGAGTTTATAAACAAAGCAAGTAAACATCTACTCTGAGTGTGGAGTTCCAACTTCTCATACAGTCTYAAGCGTGAAACTCCACATTCCAATTTTAAACTGAAAAAGCTCTTTGGATGTAAACGGAAACATTTTCTACTACAGAATGTACATCAGGTTGATTTGTTTTTAAACTCTTAGGACACCACAGGAAATGTTTTAGATCTGCACTAATGGCTACTTTTTAGGTTTAGGTTCCACTAAACTCTCCACAATCTGTGGCAGCACATCCCTGTAGTTCAAAGCTTTCCTTTCTACAAATGTTTGGTGGTACAGTCACAAGACCACCAAGTAGGGATGTTGATACATTTTTATCCCACACTGATACAAAATCTGACAGCAGATTTAAAAACATTAAAAACCCTACAAATTTATACAAAAATCATGTGATTATCTCAAGTATAAAGGAAGTTATTTCTGTTGCAAATTATAGCTGAACCATTGGGTCCTTTGTGCCCCTATCACCTTGTTATTTATTTTTTCTTTTCTTAAAGTTTAAGATAACACAAAGAAATTTATTGAAAAGATTCACAATCAGTTTTTGTAGGAAGCATCTTGTATTCTAAAAACAATAAAAAACACAATGAAACACAATGTAAAAATAGCAAAAAAGGTATAAAATTAGATACCGCATAGCAGTAACATAATGACCCCTGCYCACAGAAATGCACCAGAACTCAGAAGTCTTTATTCCTAATAAATGTCATGCTACCAGGTGCATCCCAAAATTGCAGTGGTTTGGGTGGGGGTCTTTTTTGGGAGGGGGTGCATTGGTTTACCTGATGGATAGCCCCTCATCAGAGCTAAACAACAAAAGAAATCTGAAGCTCCTATGTTGAACAGTTTCTGAGTTATAAACATTTTTGCARGTTCAGACACCCCGTTTTGAAAGGAGCCCCCTCCTCAAATATAGGGTCTATCGTAAAACCATTGGCTTGCTCAGTGTAGGTCAGACTCATCTACCGTCCTGCCAAATTTCATTTGATAGGTGCAGCTGTTTTTGTGCTACGGTTGATCAAAATTCACTGAAAAAAGTACAATAAAAATAAACAGTACAAAAACAATATGACTCCCGCTTACGCTTCGCGTGCGGTGGTCATAATAATGTTACAAGGTTCATGCCACCAAACTGCAACATCAAATTAACTTGATGTGTCTTGGAAATCCAGGAAATGAATACCAAAAAAAAAAAATCACATGACCATAGGTGCCTCCCATTCCATGATGATGATGATGGAAACACTGTTAGTAGGCCAGACTGGACCAGCAGGGGGACGTCGCAAAATAGTAAAGTTATTTTCTTTAAAAGTTTCTAAATGCCAATTTGGCAGCACAATGGATCAGTGGTTATCACTGATGCCTCACAGTAAAAAGGTCCTGGGTTCGATCTCCAGTTCAGACCTGAGGTCTTTCTGTGTAGAATTTGCTTGTTTTCCTCATGCTTGCACATGTTTTCACTGGATACTCCAGTTTCCCCCACAACACAAAAATATGTACAATATGTTGCCTTCTGGCCCAGGCCATCCTTGCAAAAGAGCAAAGTAAAAAAAATAAATTTCAAAATACAACTTTTTAGAGAGATAATCATTATAACGTGATATCACAAAACAGTGATATATTTGCCTAAGATTACTATACAGTTAGAATTTCATACTAGCCCATGCCTACTTCAAAATACATTGACAGAATTAAAAACTTGATGATGAGGCTACTGCTTTCTACCTGATGTCAGCCTGGTTTGTTGAAATATGTAAAAAATAGAAGCATGAGCAAATGACAAGTGAATGCTCAGTGCAGCATTGCACAATCAGATCACAGCAATTTAGGAAGAAAATAGCATGGCTCTGCAGGACTGCTTTACACCAAGGATTAATGTGTGCCCTGCATACTTCATTGGGAAAGATATCAATAAAACAAAATGCATAAATGACTATCATCTTTTCCAGAACAACATTTACAGATATTTTAAGATGAGATGTAATTGTCACATGATCTGAATTTAGGAAAAGTAAAAAAAAAACATCAGAACTGAGACTCATTTAAACTGTAATGTAACCCAAATGATGGATAAAAATAAATTCTCAGTAATGTGACTCCATCATCTTTTTGATATGCTAATAACTGAAAAATCTGATTTGAAACATGTTCTAGCACACTGTGAACTCCTTAGTGTATGTGTGTGTTTAGTTATATTACTTGTTTACACACCAAGCCTTTGCATGCAGGCCCGCAGACGGTTCTCCAGATTCATCACACGACTGTGGAGCTCCTGGTAGTCCAGTCCTCCCAGTTGTTCTTGCAAAGATCCCAATAACTCTGTAACATTTGTTGCTTCCTCTTTAAATTGTTGGACCAGCAGAGCATCTGCCTTGTAAGCCTCCAGAACCGGAATAAGAGGACGTAACTCTTCCATTTTTGCTTTGATAGACTGAGGGATGAGGAAAATATAAAAGAAAGATAAAATTCAGACATTCTTAAAGGGATCTATGATAAGTTGTAACTTTACTTTATTTAATAAACATCTATATATATATCTATATATATATATATC